CTGCATGGAGCACTGGGTGTTATAAGGAATCAATGAATCATGAAACATTACATCAAAAACTAATGATTTAATGTATAGTGATTAACATAACACAAAAAAGCACACAATTGAAAAGAAAAAAAGAAAAACCTTAAAACTGTGGCATGGCAAACATACACTAACAAAGAAAAAGGGCAGGGCAATCAGGAGAGGGATATATGAAAGGTAGGAGACACAGTGTAACATTTTCTAAGTGTAAAGTGTTTCAATATCAGTGACCAAAAAAATCCCACAAATACCCCAACAGGAAAACAGGCAAGGGACACTAAACATCAATTCACATAAGAACAAATACAAACAGAAAAATATGAAAAGGTAATCTATGATAAATGAAAATTAAAACAATGGCATATTAATTTTTGCACATCGAATATGCAAATATATAAATGAAGAGGATGATAGTGACCATTGCTAACAAGAGTGGGAGGAAACATGGATAGCCATATGCTGCTGTGGACGAGTCAACGGGTAAGCATTTTCTATACGCAAGAGTTAAGCAATGTATATGAAAAATGTGACTTTGTGTATCCTCTGACACAGCCAAGCTGCCTCAAGATACGTATCCTAAGGAGGAATAAATTTAGCCAAGTTAGCTAAGATCTGTTTTTTTGTTTGTTTGTTTGCCTGTTCTAAGCAGGCTCTATCCCCCGCATGGGGCCCAATTCAGGGCTTGAACTCACGACCCTAGGATCAAGACCTGAGCTGAGAGCAAGAGTGGGACAATTAACCAACTGAGCCACCCAGGCGCCCCACAGAGATCTGGTTTTTAAGTGAGTAAATGTTTATCACAGCATTATTTTTATTAATAAAATTGGGAATTATCTGTATTCCCATACCTAGTGAACTGGTTCAATCAGTTTATTGTGGTAAATCCATAGGATGGGACACACTGCCACTCCTCAGTGGTTATTCAGATCTATATCCAGACATGTAAAATACCTATGATACATGAAGTGAAGAACTTTTTCCAACACACATATGCCCATAAAACTAAGACAGTGTGGGGCGCCTGGGTGGCTCAGTTGGTTAAGCGACTGCCTTCGGCTCAGGTCATGATCCCGGAGTCCCGGGATGGAGTCCCGCATCGGGCTCCCTGCTCAGCGGGGAGTCTGCTTCTCCCTCGGACCCTCTTCCCCCTCGTGCTCTCTATCTCTCATTCTCTCTCTCTGAAATAAATAAATAAAATCTTAAAAAAAAAAAACTAAGACAGTGAGACAGCCATTCTGAAAAGCAGTAACTGGAGTAAAAGCCCACACCCTGCTTCTCACCTGGTTTTAGCATCAGCAGGGGCTCAGCAGGCTGTACTCAGGACTCCTTTGGCCACAGTCCTCTATCTTCCTGCTCCATTTATATCCTTTCCTCTCCTGATGGTCTCAAGGTTTCAAAGAAATAAATACTTAAATATTTTCAGGCCTCCTGACCTCAAGGATCAGACCCCGTAAAAACTAAGTTCCTCTTTGGGAATCTAAGTGACCCCAGGAAACAGCAGACAACCACACTCCATGGATGGACAGGGACTTATACACATTTACTATCTCTTCCCCCCCAGCCATCCGGACAGAGCTCATTACTTTCTCCTCTATATCCCCTATTACTTCGTGCTGCTACTTGATAACATTCCCTCTGCAATATGGTTAGTGAGAGAGCACGAGAGCGACCCTCATAAAGAAAAACAGTGTGCGCTTTGCAGAGGACTTTTGTTCAAATCCCAATCCATCTTGGACTCGCTGCACAGCTTCCGGTCAGAAGCACTTTGGTGGCAGTACAGAATGCTGAGCCACGGTGGAGCACCCAGACAGGCCAACTCCAACCTTGTGTTACAGGGTCAAGGGCACTGCACCCTCAGCGGGGCCCAGGCAGGCGCCCTCAAGACACAAAGTGCTGGAAAGCTAATTCGGACTCTCATACTGTCAATACCATTGCATCCCAAGTAACTTACAGGAATTTTTATTTTCTGAAATAGTACAAAACATAGATGTGCTTCAATTAAAATAGATACTTGCTAGATATTTTTATTGTAAATTTCTAAACTTTTCTTGTTGTTCCCCTGCTTTGCTGGTGCCCTGAGGACAGTTTTGTCTGTAATTGGGTAATGTAGCTCATATTTGAGCTGTTTAGTTAAACATTTACACCACAATCCCTGTCCCCATAGTCTGTCACCATAGCAGGGTCCTGGATAAGGGAAGGTCTCCTGCCTCAGCTGCACAATGCACTGCACTTTCTGGAATTTGAACCAGAAATAAATGTAGTCTAATGTGAATAGGGTTGCATCTCTCAGGCTCCCTGGGATGGCCCCAACATACACATGGTTGAACTGGTATATTTATCAATATCCCCCCACCCCATTTCACTCTGGAGTGTCTTGGCTTGTATGATAAACTCTATGTTCATCCTAAAAGCCACCCTAGTTAGCTGTGGGTTTAAAGTCCCATGTCCCAGGACACCCTTTATTCCTGGACAAATGAGGACAAGTTGGTCACCACTGATACAGCAGTGACCAAAACCACCTGGGTGTAAGAGCTCCCTAAGTCCTGGGGCTAGGTCTAGCCCACCTTCACTCCTGGTCAGCTCACTTGGGAGCTTGTGCTGTCTTTTCTACCCATTCCTCAATCAGGATTACCTTTATCCATCAGAAAGCAACCAACAGGGCTGACTCTCAAAGACGTAGGGCTAGAGTGCCCATCCTCCTCTTCCTGGTGCATGTGGCCTCTTTGAAAGGTTATAGACCTGTCCCAAAAGCCACCTGTGAAGGGCAGGCTAGGTAAGCCAGAACAACAGCCCTTCTATTCTCTTACGTAAGGGTAATGGAAACCTACCCACTTGATAGGTATCCACTCTGATCCTTCTGGAAGCAAAATTATGTCCTGGGGTGGCCCTCTCTTTTGTCCACTAGGTAAAGAAGGAGTCATCTCCTTTTTCAGAATGAACAGATGAACCAATATATAAATAAATACTTCATGTTCCTTCTAAATTGATGCCACACTATATGTAAAAGTGTGCCTTTATATTTTTCTATTTTGTGTGTGTCTCTGGACCTCCCACCTTGAATGTGAGTTCCTTGAGTGCAAAGAATTCCTTGTTCACTATTGTGTCAAAGCCCTCCCGGTTTGCCCAGAACCAAACAGTGTCCCAGGACACAAGACTTTTGGTGCTAAAACCAGAACAGTCCCAGGCAAACCTTGGATAGTTGGTCACCCTAGCTGTATCCCCAGTCCAATAGCAGTGCCTAGCCTGTAGCAGGCGTTCAATAAACAACAGTCCTGTAACTATAATCAGATCAACTCTTCCACAAGTGGTTTCAGAATTAAAAGAGGGAGAAAAGGTGCTAAAAGGTGCATCAGGACCTTGATAAATATGAGTGTCAGCTCACCGGGAGAGTTGCTGCCTTTCCCTTGCTGGGCTCTCATTCTTTCCTGGGAGGAGACAGGATACTGTGCTTGACCACAAGGAGACAGGATGCTGTGCTTGACCACACTTGTCAGCTCATCTTCTGGCCAAGCAGCACCATTTTCTTCTTCCATGGTAGACCCCTGTCTTTCTGGGGCTGGAACATGAGGCACTGCATCTACCAGACCCCTGCCAACAGGATTCCAAGTTAAATTTTGCCAGTGAAAGGTACTTGCATGAGATCTGGAAATCAAAAGAGAAGTAGGATTTCATTTCTACTGACTGACGTCACAATGTCTGTAAATGTGTTTACTGTCATCCTTTGGCAGTAGTGGGCAGCTGTGAGGGCTTTGCAGGTGGGAGGTGTGAAGCAGCCTCCCTGCCACGAACGGTCTGGAAGTCTCCTGCATCTGTGCTGGAGGCAGCCGTGGATGGGCCAGCAGGACTCGCGCTCCCTCTCCAAAGTCAGCAACATTGCATCTCCAACCGTTCTTCCCTAGTCTCACCTCCTCTGACTTACCTCTCTGCTTCCCTCTTCCATTTTTAAGGAGTCCATGATTGTACTGAGTCTACCTGGACAATTCAGGATAACCTCTGTAACTCAAAGTCTTTGACTTGAATCATATCTCTCTTTTGCCATGAAAGGTAACATACTCACAGGTTCCAGGGATTGGGATGGAGACATCTTTGAGGGGCCGTTAGTCTGCTGACCATGACAGCCAAATAGGGATTAACTGACTTCTTTTTTTCTTCCCAAAAGCATTGACTCTGGTTGATTCAGAGCCTCTGTACTTGGCACAAAAATAAGCAGTATTATCTGGGAAAATTCACTCATGGTGTTCAGCGCCATGATATCCTGAGGGCTAATGGAAAAGATGATTTTGAGGAAAAGATAATAAAAAGCAGATACAGAAAGAAGAAAATTTTTAACTTTAAGTTAAGCAATACACAAATGCATACACACACATTTAATTTATTAACTAAAATTCTAAGGCCTGTTCAATGTTTTTAGACTTGTTACCTTCTGGTAATGGTATTCTGGGATCTAGTGGGTTCCCAAAGGTTACGATCCAAAGGCACTATGCCAAAAAATGAGAAATAAGATGAAAACAAAATTGGGCTGTATTCTAAGTCAAGGTCAAGTCCATAAGTATGTGTACAGTATGCTAAATCTTGGGGCCCCTGGGTGGCTCAGTTGGTTAAGATCCAACTCTTGGTTTTGGCTCAGGTCATGACCTTGGGGTCATGGGACCTCATCAGGCTCTGCACTCAGTGTGGAGTCTGCTGGTGATTCTCTCTCCCTCTGCCCACCCCCCAACCCCTGCTCATGCACGCTGAGTCTCCAAACAAACAAACAAACACTTTTTTAAAAAAATCTTATACATTTGGCTTATCTTAAGTCATTTTACCAAGCTGCCCTCTTGCTTAAATCTTCTCTGCTATTGCGATCACATTTTCCCTTCTCCCATTCTTTAAGTTATGCTCACTGATTTCTCAAAGGACCTTTACAGTTCTTCCTTCTTGCATTGTTTCTCTCCTTCGTTCTGTGCACCAGCATGACTTTCTCTCTCTTAATTTCCTCTGAGGAGCTATTTTACTACTTCAGTGCCCCAAATAAAAAGCTGAGATGTTCTCAAAGTTCAAAGTTGTATCATGGGCATAATTCTCTTTGTAGTGTAACTGCATAATCAGATTGCTCCTTTTTCAATACTGATCAGATTTCAGTTTTTTGCATAAACAGACTGCAACACTTTATTTTCCTGCACTTGTTAAAACCAGAAACTTAAATATTTATTATTTTTTAACTACAATGCCAAAATTATCTGGCTTACCCATTAATATCCAGGACAGACTTCATTCCTGGTGACTACAAAATCCATTTCCCTAATGCCAAGGCTCAACCTTGTCACTTTGGAGTCGTTTTTGTTTTTTTTTTTTTTTTAACCCCTCATATTCAGGCACCAAATACTGAAGAATCCACAAAAATATTTTTAAAAGCAATCTCTTCACTGGCACTCTCACCATGCTGGTCCTGAAAGCATTCAATGTGGGACCACAGATTCACCTGCCCATAACTCATCCTACAACTGCCCTTGGGTCCACTTTCCTAATAATGACTTTCTGAGTATGGGTGCTTTTCTGATCATCTCACTTCATCCTTCAACTACAAGCATCATAGGTAACAACTCCTGGGTGGTTACTATGCGCCTTATATGTCTCTAACACTTTACATTTCATTCATTAAAGCTTTCTAAAATCCTAGAGAATAGGAATTGTTACTATTCTCACATTACATTTGAGAAAACCGAGGCACACGGTGGTTAAGCAACTTCTCCAATGTTCCCCACACCTTCTAGGTGAGCAAAACCAGGATTTGAATCAAGATATTTGACTATAAAGCCCACACCCTTCACCTCCACACCTCATTGCCATCATGGGAGGCAGATTTATTCCCTATTCAACAGATAATGAAATATTCCTTCAGCTGCTAGGAAACCTGCCTAAAGTTCCACATGTCAGAGCCACCATAGCATACTGACTTTCTTCTATAATACACCCCACATCAGAAATTTTCATTGGAAAAATTATTTCCTATGGCAATGTTCCCCAAAGTGCATCTTCCCATTACCATAGGCATTATGGAAAAGGTAGATTTTTGTGGATAAACTGGATTGGGAAACTGTATACACTTTATTCCCCTTTTGGAAATATAGGGAGCACTCAATGCAGCATATTAAAGGCTCTGACAAGTCCAACAATAAAGAAGCCTATTAAACTTAGTTTAACCCAGTTTCTCAAACTAGTAGGGACCATGAAATTACATTTTTATGTCTCTGCTATTACCGTAAGTCACAGAACGTACTTCGGACAATGCCATGCACTAGACTCAAATCTAAACACCCTGGCTTTCATTTGTAAGACCTGGCTAAGTCTTACAGAGTCTACTCCTTTCTTTACCTGTCCAAAGTAACTTCTCATTTGAAAACCAAATCAATATAGTTCAATACATCAACAAGTTAAAGAAGAAAA